AAAACGTTTTGTTTTTATGGTTACATCTCCTGCTAGCTTGCGCCAATACATACAGATGTATTCTGATTGGTTGCACGTCGAAAGTTAAAAAAGGTCAAAGTTGAAATAATTTGAACTATGCATCCAAGTATTAAAAACAGTAACATCAAACAATATAGCACTATACTCTTTGTGCAATCCAATACAAATTATAACAATTGCCTATCACAGAAAAGATAATATGCGTACAGTGTTTTTGAGAATCAATAGAATATCAAAAAACATAATATCTAAATACACAAGTTGATCCATATTTTCTTACACCACCGGATAGGATTGTATACAATTCTAACATTTTGACCCACACAAGCCTGGCTCATCTTTGGATTCTTTGGATTTGAAAAGAGTTGGGAACTGGACTGATTTTACCCATTACAGTGTGTTTTCAGGTGTTGGGGATTACTCCTGCATATGTTAAATACAGGAAGAAAGAAAGAAGTAAGGCTTGTGTGTGTCCAGAAGGAAGCTTTGTGAAGTCTAGAGGTGTGAATTTAAGAAGAAGTGAGACTACTGTAGCTGATACTAGCATAAAACAGCATCATCTCTGACTGAACTGGCAGCAGTTGAGTTGCATTTTGGGTAATGTAGGTGCCAGATTCTGACCAAGGAAGAAGATGATCACTCGCATTGATTTAGATCTTTTTAATAAAAATTGTCCATTGTGAGTCCAACAATGTTATAGAAGACCTGTAAATGCTATAAGGCAAAAGAAAGTAAATGTTTTTGCAATTGTTTTTGAAGTAATACTACAGTTTGGAAATACACCATTTTAGGTCAAATGTATGCTGCCCTAATAAAAATGATTTGCATCAAAATATACAAAAATAGCCAAAAGTAAAATCACTCATAATTCAGAAAATCTTATTGTAATGTGATGTGATGTATATATCATTCAATGAAATTATAGATTTTTGTTGAAGACATGGTGAAGCTCCCGGTGCAATCCTTGTTTTTCCATACAGTCCCAAAGCTCTCCTAGATATATCCTGGTGCAGCCATGTTTCCGTCAAACACACATTAATCTGCACTCCAGTTATTCCTTCTGACTCTTAGCTAACGCTGTTAGCGTATCCATTTCATTAGCCAGTTATTTTACGTTGCCCCATGATGAGAGGGGGGAGACATACATATATCTCCTTTTCTCCATAAATCTGACCCAGCTCTCCACCTTTGTCTCTTCGGTTTACCACTACATCCTCTGTGATAACAGTTATTCTGACCACCATGCTAGCCGGCATTAGCACCACTAGCTTCTCTCTGCGCATCAGTGTGAATGCACATAACAGCAGCTGAATGGCAAAAATTAAAATAAAAAACTCTACAAGAAAGTTTTGAGAGAGCATTTTGAATCTGCAAGTTTTTCAGAAATGTAGTCGAAAGCACAATATTTGCCTCTGAATGTTACTAGAATAGAAATATAAAGAAACAGAAAACGGCAATACTTAAAGTAATTGAGTAAATGTTACTTTCTACCTTTATTTGCGTGTAAATAAACGACATGGCAAAGAGTAAACTTGTCATAAAAGTGTGTCTCTCCGTGCGATCTGCACCATATCTGGCTGAAAAATGCAGACACTGTAGAAGTAATGCTACATTAGCCGTTGTTTCACAAGACCATTCATACTCATTACAGCTGCAATTAGCCCCGAATGACATCGGATCACTGATTAAACTGACTGCGGAGCTGCAGGGCGAGGGAAGAATGTGCCGTAAAAGAAAAAGGTACTAGAGAGAGAAATCGGAATCCACCTGAAGCCTCCTTAAAGCAAATCTATTTCATTTCAGCCTGATGGATTCCCAGTGTGATAACGGGGACTTTTTGGGATAATTGACATATTATAGGGTAATTTGCCTCCTATGTGCAGTGGGAAAGCGTAGGAATACTGATTGTTCTGTAAGTTAGTGCTGTCGTCAGGTCACAGACAGGCCCGCTCATTCTTTAATTACATTTTAGATTCATGTCCTAATCAGACGCCATGCTGCTCACCTTAACGCACACTTTCTCTGCAACTCACCAAGTCCCTCTCGAGTTTTAACCTTGGAAAAGATTCATTATAACACTTCAGATAAGTTTCCGACCAGTATACGTCAAATACAGCATGCTGCATTTATAACAGGGGAGTCATGGATCAACTTTTAGCTATAGGGTCATTGACATGTTAACTTTAATTTAGGTAGAGTTAGGGAACTGTTGGACCGGTAGGAGGACTCAAATGAAAAGGATACAAATAGTTAAAGGTGGTTTAATGGATAACATGGATTCAGACAAACATCAGCAATGTTTCTCAGTCAGGCAAAAACATACAGTCCTGAAAAGGCAAGTGACTCTACTTGTTGCAAACAGAAGTCTGATTGCATTGAAGTCTATAAGAAAATGAACCTACTATTAACTTGAGGTAACATTCACCTTATGAGTTAATGGTCTCAATCACTAGTTACAAGTCTCCGAGTCTTACAGCAGGAGGTTCGTTCTGTAAATGCAGTGCATGCTTTAAGGAGTACATTGTGATTGATTGATTAACCCATATATAGTGTTTTTAGTGCAGTGGAATTTTTTTATGTTGAAAAGTGTAACGTTGCCTGAAAATGTCTCTTTCAGACAATTGGGTTGAGGTTCAGTTTTCCTCTGTCGTGTCACTCGAAGATTCAAATACTCCAGAAACAATTGGTGACCTCAAAATGACCCACTTCCTATTTAGAGTATATGTTTTCAAAGTCCAGGACGCTTCCTTGGTAGGAATCAGCTCCAGTTTTACAATAGTATTCTAGCTATAATAATTTAAGCAACCCTTAAACCCCTTTCTTTCCAGTTAAAAGCACGTTTCTCCAGATGATATAAAATGTATGTGATAAACTGAAAAATTAAGTGTTCTTTTGTGTGTTCATAACATTTCCTAAATCTTTATTAAAGTGGACCTATCATGCTATATTTAAATGATATATTGTAGGGCCATACCTATATAAGGTATATTTATACGTTTCTGTTTTCAAAATACCAAACAGATCATGCATTTTAGCCATGCCTCATTTTGCTCTATGTGCTGTTTGCTGTCTACGGGTCTGATTCTGCTGACCACGCCCCCCTGCAGGAAAGGTGAGCCGTGCTCTGATCAGCTGCTGGGCTGTCAGAAGAGGGGGAGAAAGATCTCCGTCCTCCGTGTTTTATTATATAGAGTCGTTATTCATTTGTTTTAAAGCTCAATAAATAACAAAGAAGACCTTTGACCGGCACTTTTCTAATTTTGTCCGGAAGATTTAAACTTTAACGGACATCTTGACCGGCGAAAGTAACTGAAACTGAAACTCTGCCGCACGGTCCCCTCGTTCCTTGGAAGAGGCGGAGAGGTGGGTGTTTGTCATCTGCTGGTGGACTAACCGGAGAGAATTACAGTGCTTGCCTCGACGGGGAGGGATTGCATTGAATTAAAGCAGCGGGAGCAAACGCTTGCCTCGGGGAGGGAGAAAAAAAGCCACAGCGGAGAATAAACAGAAAGACCTTTGACCGGCACTTTTCTAATTTTGTCCAGAAGATTTCAACTTTAACGGACATCTTGACCGGCGAAAGTAACTGAAACTGAAACTCTGCCGCACGGTCCCCTCGTTCCTTGGAAGAGGCGGAGAGGTGGGTGTTGAGGCAAGCACTGTAATTCTCTCCGGTTAGTCCACCAGCAGATGACACCATAGCCGTAGCGCCACCGTCCTGACGTCAGGACAGTGTTCAAATCTGGATCAGTTTTTATCAGATCCATTGCAGCCCCTTTTTTAGAGATTTGGGTATGGAGGAAAATAGAGAGGGTTGTGTTTTCTGACACTTGGTGAGTTCCCTGGAACACCGGGGACACATATTCATGTATAAAAGACGTACAAAAGTGCATTTTGCATGATAGGTCCCCTTTAAGTTTTGAAAAAGCCTTTCGGAACAGCTAGGAAAACCATCATCACAAAGCTGATAGAGATTAATCAATACTTTTACTTTAAATATTTCAGGTATTGTATTTGAATTGTGCTAATAATATGTTTAATTAAATAATGTTTTGAATGCAGGACTTTGACTTGTTTTCATATGTACGGATGTATGTAACTGATCTGTTCTATTTTGCAGCAGTTTTCATGGATTAAAGTTGCACTCCAGGTCTGATTTTGACTCGGTATCCAGGAGACTAACTGAGTGTCTTCATCTGTTGTTCGTGCTTCAGTGTGTGTGTGTAGCAGTGTGTATGTCGGTGTGCATGCCAGTGTGTAGCAGTATACAGGCTGGTAATGGATGTTCCTGCCTGCTGCCGGTGACTCTGCAGAGGCTGAGTTATGGCTCGTGTTGCAGCCGCTGATCTGTGACCTGACTGAGCTCCTATCAACTCTGCAGCCAAATCCAACATGAGACTGCATTATGCAAAGATACTCTCAGAATAATATTGTACTATTGAGTACAACTGTTGACTGTGTTGCAGGTGTGGATATATATGGAAGCCCATTTCCACCAGTAAAAGAAAAAAGCTCAAATAAAAATGTAGAATTGTGGGGGGGAAAAAGGATTCTGACTAATGACTGACAGAAAAAAAGAGAAACCATAGCAGCATTATGACGAAGCATACCATAATTATGGCATAGAATCTCAAAATAATGACTAAGTGTTAGCAAAAATTACCATCATTCAAGCATCATTTAACTTTTGTGCAAAATAAAGCAATTCAACCATTTCAACCAAGTGTTGATACTGGAGAGTCTCACTGCAGGCCTGATGCATTATTAACTTGTATGGTTTGAAGCACTGTCACTAATGCACATTTTCTCCTTTTTCTCCTTGTCTCATAAATCGCCTCATCCTCTCAACTTTCCTTCCAACTCCTTCTCACCCTTCTGTCTGCTTCGTTCCCATCTCATTTCCCCTTGCCTTCTTCACCTCTTCCTCTTTATATCTATCTCTTCTTCTCCCCTATACTCCCCTCTCTCCCCTTCCTCAGGTGAGAAGTGTCGGAGCTTCATTGATCTGGCCCCGGCGTCGGAGAGAGGTGAGTAATGACCGTCATTAGCCACCGCCGCTACTTCCTGCCGCTCCCACCTGTTCGTCAGACCAAGGGAAACCAAAATAAATATGCACACATCTCTTTATTGGGCACCTTTCTGGCTTATTTTCATCGGCATTTAACATTATTATATTCTAACAATTTAAAAATATATAAATAATGACTGTACCTATCCATTTTTATATTATTAGAGAAACACATCTTATTTATGTTACGTTCATTGATCCTGTAACACGTCTGTATTATCTACCTCAGTAAGAGTTAGACTTTTACTTGCAAGGGATTATTTTATAGTCATACTATTTTGACTTTTATTTAAGATATAGGCCTGATTTCTCTTTCACTTCTGGTAGTAAGTAGTTCTGATGTCCGGCTCTAAGAAGGACGTTCATTTTAAAGACGTTTAATGTAAATTAAATTGAGGTCAAAGTTAATGACATCTGAGCATCTGCTTTAAAACTATAATGAGAGTCGTAAGTGAAGATTAGACTGAGAAGGTTGTCTGTCGGTAGGTCGAAGTCACACGCTTTGTTGACATAAAGCAGTCGTTTCAAAAGGACATTAGGGTCAGTGTCCACATAGTGCCTTTCTCTGGCAGGAAGGCACTATGTGGACACTGGCTTTGCTCCTATACTAGGAGGGGTTAAAAGCCACAATGTCATTGTGTGTGCTGTGTGCTCTGTGTGTGTGACGCTTAAAGAGGGTTTCATCCCTCCAATTCTAATTCTACCACATTTCAATGACGGACTAGTGACGCTCCCTTGGATTTCATTATCTGTTTGTGCTACTTTATATTTGTGTTTGATAATGTTTTTCACAAGTACAACCAACTGAAAGGTTGTCGCTCTCACTATTTGTCTAAATGAGCATCACCGCTCAGTCTGACAGCCGTAGAGCTTGGGAACAAAAAAAACAATGCTGTTATTTTTGGGTGAAAACTGTTTCTTAACCAACATCTTTCCAGGAGCAGTCTGTGCTTCAACTTCTCTGTGAGTCCTCCTCTAAGAGACTGCAAACTAAAGTGGAGTCTGCACTAAGGGCTCATTATTCTTTAAGAAACAAGTATGACGTTTCCTTTTTTCAAATCTACATTGTTTAATCTCAAATCATTGAGGCTGATCATTCATTCTGATCAGAAAACGTAGAAAATCTATTTGGAGAATGAAATGAAAACTGGTTGATAACAGGGCAAATGGGACCTTCTTCAAGATTTACTTCCTGGGTTTATTTACTCACTATCCTCCATAGCCACATCTGAAAAGGTAGAGGCAGTTATAGAAGGAATGAAAAACACATTCTAATGTTTTTGCCTCAAAACATCTGGCCAATCCCATTTGTGCCCGATTATCCGTCAAAACCGTTTCAGACTTAACCTTCTATTCCAAAGGTTTCATATTTTCATATTTTCTCCGGGCTGATTTAACTGAGGCTTCCTGAGGCCTTCATCATAATTGTATTGACAGAGGAGGGAGTAAAAGGAAAGTGACATGTATTAATTGAAATGAAACAAGCTCAGGATTTTTCCAATGTGTTGTCAGTTTTGATTTATGGATGTTAGAGTAACCTGCTCCCAACAAAAATGAAGATAATGCCTTCTGTTTTAATTTAGGTTTCAAGCAGATTCAAACCAATCTCCCAGAATTTTTTTTTAAATGTATCTATCAAGAAAATGATTGATGATAGAGGACATATTATTCTCAATTTCAAGTTCATATTAGTATGTAGTGCCTCTACTGTGACATGTTTACATAGATTAATGTTCAAAAAGCTCTTTATTTTTCTCATACTGCCTGTGCTGCAGCACCTCTTTTCACCCTCTGTCTGAAACCAGAGCCCAGTCTGCTCTGATTGGTTAGCTGGCCGGCTCTGTTGTGATTGGTCAACCGCTTCGAGATGTCCCGCCCCTTACCCTATCACGTACAATGTGTTAGAAGCTAGTCAAATTAAGTGCGAGTGTTACATAGTGACATCACTGTTAGGGAAGTAAACAGAAAAGTCCAATGGAAGCTTCAGGCAGGAGAGAAACTTCCTCTGGAGGGAACTTTGGGATTTTAGCCTTTGCAGACCATTTACATGCACACACACATTTATAACACACTACAGGAAAAGCATAATAGCTTCTCACACTTTAACTTAGGCTCCTCTAAAATTGCAACATGTAAAACAATTCTGAAATAAAAGGAAATTAATGAATAAACTAGTGCAAGACGAATAACGATGCAGCTAAGTTGCAAGTATAGGCAAATATACAGTACACACATAAAATAGAAAAAAGGTGAAACAGGATGTAAACTTAAATACTGTACAGTAGAATACATATTGTATACTTTAATAATGTATTTTAATATATTGATGTGTGGAATATGTGAAACGTAACATATCATACAAAACAGTGTGCCCTAGGTTTCTTTACATTTACACCTACATTATGTTTTCCCACCAACTGCTGCCTTTGGCCTTACTTGCTTCTTGTCTTATTTGTTTTTGAATTTGACCCTAATACATATGTGTATGTATGAGGGGCTGGATAATAAGAGAACATCTCTCCTCCAGATTCCTCATAACTGCATGAGCAGCTTATTATCTTATCCTGCAGCTCATAAAAAGAATATTTGAGCGTGAATATTTCTGCTGCAGGTGGGCGTAGCCTCTAATTCTCTGTTCCATGCAGAGCAGGTTGTTAATAATGAACGTTTCTGATGGTTTCATCTGTGGATGCCATCTGGAAGAAGAGCAGGAGTGTTTTGCAGGGAGTGGTGGTGAGCAGTGATATGGTGCATCCAGTGGGGCGACCTTGCTTCTCACACAAGGATACAATATGTTAATCTGCCTTCCTTTGAGCCCTGCATGATCACTGCTGTGTTTTATAACACACAGCTGCTCCTCACTCACAGCCAAGTTCATTCTTAATGAAAAACCGACAACACAAATTTGATTACACAAATCAAATTGGGGCCAGAGCCAGGACTTTATAAACTGTGCTGTGGTCAAGACTGCACCGGCAGAACTAAGCCCACCTGAGAAATGCAAAACGTATCGGCCATAAGAAAACTATTTACAGTTTTCTTAGTTTTTAAAGTATCAATAAATCTAACTTTTTTTCTTTTATTTATTTATTTGAGATGAGACACTGGTCTATTTTGTTGTTGCTTATTCTCCTTATTTCAGCATTGGTTTCTCTTCTCAGACCATAAGGTTGCCTTTTCAGTACAAGAGGCGCTTTTACACCGCAGTACTTTTCCCACAAAGGTTCATCAGAATTTAGTTCATGAGAACTCTTTAGTTCTCATGAACTAAGTAGAGATCGCGTTCACACCGGAATAAGTCCCTGAGGGAAGATTAGGCAAATGAAGCCGCTGACGTCACTTCTTCTTCTTCTGCTTTGGGTTTACTGGCAGGCCGCAAACCACTTCACGGTGTATACTGCCACCCGAAGTCCCCGGCCAGAAGTCCCCGGAGTTGGGGACTGGCTTCAGTAGAAGCTGCTGGGACTCCCAGCAGCTTCTACTGAAGCCTTCCGAGTAAATCGCCAGAACACCGACACCTCCTCATCACTCCACCGCTCCCATGTTTTATTTTGTGTTGCCATAAGTTAGTCTCTCTGCGTTTCTGCGCTGGGCTAATGCTAATGCTAATAATGCTAATGCGAGGATAATAAAATGGCGGCTTCACAAAACTTTTTGGGAGTTTTACGGGGCGTGGTTTGCATTCCGCCCAGCCAATCAGACATTAGGAACCTTTTTCTCCCACGAAAGTACCTGCTCTCTAGCAGGGGGTAAAAAATAAAAGTAAAAATAAATACAAAATAAAAGGGGGTAAAAAGGTTCTCATGAACTAATTTTAGTTCCGGCTCTTTTTGGTGTGAACGCGACATTTCGGAACTATATCTGAACTAAAGTGGGAAAAGTACTGCGGTGTGAACGCGCCTAAGGTACAAAAATCTAATTTAACAAATCAAAATGTAAGACGAAGTAAAGGGAGAGACGAAATGAGGGTGATTAGGCGTTCGTAAAACTTGGGACAGTCCCGATTTCAATCAGCTGTCCTGAATCACCTGAGTTGTTATAATACTACCTTAAAAACATTAGCTATTATATTAAATTATAGACCTTAAAACCAGGGAAAGGTAACACTCACAATATAACAATGTCTCGCTAACATGAGTTGTGATGGTAAAAACACAAAGTACAGCGAGAGTTGATGAAAGTCATAAACCACACTATTGACCTGTTGATGGCACTAGATTGAAAAACAGAGGATCAGCAATGTTTTTACAATTCATCCTGAGGGAAACAGGAATGTCTGAACTAAACTTCATGAAGATGCAACAGCAGTTGTTAAGATATTTCAGTCTGGACAGACCATAGAACCGCGCCGACGGCAGCACAGGTTTCTAAAGAGAAAACATCACGCTGTTTGTCATCCTGAAGGGTTCAGCCCCAGGTTTGTTTCTCCTCCAGATGATCTGAGCAGACGTCACATTAGTTTTGCACCTTGACATCGTAAAATGCTTAGTGGATACTTTTATCACCGACGTCCCCCCGAGGTCTCTGCTCATCCTCTCTTCTCCTGCTCCATTTTTCAGAGATTTCTTCAGACTTTGGTGTTTCATATCATGAAAGAGAAACTTTAAGTATTTGCCTCTTTCAGATCCAGATGTTATATCCTTCTTTCTGTCTGTTGTGAATACTGTCCTTTAAATGACTATGGCTTTATTAACAAACAATATTCTTAAGTTTCAATGATGAATGAATTTAGTTAATTCTTAGGTTTAGTTAGAACTTTATGACTTTTAGTCACTAAACTCTGCTTGTGTGGATTCATTATTTTTACTTTTATTTTCTTGCTTCATGTCTTTCTGAAATAAACCCTCAGCTCATATCATCTGTCCCATCCTGTCTTTTTCTAATTGACATTCCTATACAGTACAACTAAACCAAATCCTCAATCAATCATTTAGAAAAACATGTTTTCTCCACGATTAC